TATTTTATTATTTATCTTTATCATTTATTATTCACTACATATAAATATATACTCTTTACATATGCACATTTATAAAAGATACACTTTCATTGTGATTGAGAAATTAGGGTTCATGCTTATTTATATTTATATCCAGTATCTCAGTACACAATATGTATTTCTTGAAATTTTAATTAATGATTTAATTTGACATATATTGGACAATTTCTATGTGATGTGAGTGGGTTACTCATTAGGATATAATAACAAATAGAAAATTAAAGAACTCAGTCTAGTGAAAGAGAAACAAGTAAGCAACTATAACACAATGAGGAGTTCAGTGTATACAGAAGGAATACATATGGACACAGATAAACAGTTAATTTTGAGGACCTATCATTTCTGATTATCTGCGATGAACCCTGAATAACAAATAATCTTAATATATGAAACTAAAGAGAGAAAGGAGGCTAATTCTGAGAATTCCAGGTGCATATTTCGAAACAAGTTGCATTATGCAAGTTAGAAGAGATGAGACTGTAAAGCAGTCAGATATAAAATTACTTAGACTAATATCCTAAAATATTTGGAATTTATTTGATATATGATGGAAAATATGAAGCTTTTCATTTGAAACAGTGAAAGATCAGATCAGAATTGTGCGTGTATACACACACACACGCATATACAAAGATACTTGTATACATATGTATGTGTATAAAATTTAAGAGGAGAAACCCAGGACCATCAAAGGGAGGAAAATTATCAGTAGTTTCATAAAAAACAAGAGAGGAGGGAGTCTCAGATTGCAACACATTTTATGAGTATGAGCCCAAAGCAAATTATGTTGTACATCACTCTTGTAATAACTGAGAAAGTTTCCCTGGAAGGAGAGAGCACCATAAATAAAGCAGAGAAACTGTTTTTGATAGTTATATGACAACTAGAGTTCTTTATGACAAAGATTGCCCTGGAGGTATTTGTGACTAAACAGTCCTGATAGTCAACCTAAGTCTTTAAATAAGGCTAGGGAAGAACTATTAGAGTGTGGATTCTAGCTACTAAATGATATGTCTGGTAAGCAACTAATGCTGAAATACTGAAAATTACAAAGCACAATAAAAAAGTAAGGTCTAAACAGTAAACACATAAATAACATGTCAAAAATATTATATTAATACTCTGGTGTTTCTATTTGGGGACAAATTACTCAGCAAAAAATACAGCCAAGCAACCAACAAAACAACCAACCAATGAAACAGTATATACCTGTTCAATTCTGAAAAAAAAAAAAAAAAATGTATAATGATTTACCATATCTTTGTGCTTCAATAGAAGATGGAGAAAATAGAGCCATGGATTCTATATTCTCCAATTCTACAGAATTTTTACATAATACAAGAAAAATTCAATTACATAGGCATTATAACAAATTTAAGAGAATCAGAAAGTGAGACTAAATAAAAGCAATATATTAGAAGGATTTTATCTCACTCCAGTTGTCCAGTCTCCTCACTTAGCAAAGAGTATGACATCCATTAAGATCCAGTAGATACTCATCAAATTAATAAACAAATAATTAGACCATGACTACAAATTGCATTAGTATGCTCAAGACAACAGATTTTTATATTTATATATCCAATATAATATTAATCTTAGTGTTTGTGAAGACATTTAATAAATTAATATCTCTAAACACATTATTTGTATTTCAATAGATAGATTTTTATTTTTACTATATCCTGGTTCATGAGTTAAACACTGTACTAGATTACCTTTAAAGTTTTTTCTGAGTTGATAAATTCTACACGTATTATAGTGAAATTAAGAACAGTTTCTCAAGTAAAAAATACCACTTAGGTAATTGGTGGAAAATTTCACATCGGAAGGTGAGCAGGTGTCAAAACTTCAAAACTTAAAGATTTAGCTCAGGAAAGAATCAGCCAGTATGTAATTAGAGTCATCATGTCCTGTTTAGCTGACATAAATGGTTAGTTCTCTTGCTCTAAATAGCACAATCTTGGTTTTTAAAATCTCTAGAAATTTTAGCAAAATATGTAAAGGGAAATAGAAGAAAAGAAAAATGACAGAGATAAACAGAGCAAATTGAATGTGAAACTCAAAAACTACCTTCGGTTCTTAAACCCTAGTAATCCAGAGGGGATCCACAATGGCATGCAGAAGAGCACACAGAAACCTGATGTCAGTACTATGACTCGATTTTATTTTCTAAAGATTGCCAGAATAAAATTTTCTCCCCCATATATTCTTCATACAATGTGACTTGGACACTCCACCCATAAGGAGACGGTATATACTTCTACTCCTTAAATATGGCAGAGGTTTGACTATGGCAGAAGTAACACTGAAATTACAAGGCTAATTCATAAAAGTTCTGCTTAATTCTCTTGGGCAAGTTTTTCTTGGAACTCAGTGCCTTGCTATGAGGAAACCCAAACAGCCTAGGAGGGGCTCACATGTAATAGAAATGAATCCTAGGGCTCGCAGCCCTAGCTAAGCTTGGGCGAACAGCCAGCACCAACTTGCTAAGTTAGCCACACAGAAAGTGGTACCCAGTCCTCAGTCAAGGTGCCCTAGCTGATGCTGCATGGATCAGGGCTGAGTTCCCTCAAGTCTGCCCAAATCGTGGCTTTATGAGCAAATTTAAAATTTGTAGTTTGAAGCCATTAAGTTTTGGTGGTTTGTTATGCAGCACCAGATAATCAGAACAAGTGTGTAATTTTGCAACTAAACATATTTAAGTTTTTTCTACATGGCAATATAATATATATATGTGTGTATGTGTGTATATATATATAGTTTCTTCATCATTCTGGAAATTATAGCATAGCATTTAATTCAAGATACATGATTTTAAAAGAAAACACTTTTTACATGTTAGTTATAAGGCTATGAAAAATTACTTAAACTCTGGACCTCAAAAGTCTCATTGATAATTTACCATAATAGTTGTGATAAATGGATTTCAGTTAATATTTTTGTAGAATTTAGCACAAATCATGACAACTTGAACACTCTATATAACCATTAGTTATGTTATCATTTATATTTTTATCCCAAATCTGGAGTATGACCTTATCTCTAGCATGAAACTACATAGCTATGAGAGAGATGCTTAGTGTGTAACCTAGAAGAGAGAGAGAAAAGAATGCTCAAAGATCCTTAATAAAGTCATTCCACTCTGCTTCTCAAGAGGCAACCTCTGTCTTCCTTTACTTCTCTCAATACATCAAGTACTGTTAAACAGTCATCAAACTGATTTATTGATTTTAGTCATTATTATATCAGTTTGTCCCTTCACTTAGGCTCTCACTGGTATACAAGTTACACAAATTAACTCAGAAAAATAAATACTAAATATATTTTTCTCATAATTTTAATTAAACCTTTCAAAGAAAAGTTTAACATTCACCATCATTAATAGTCTTCTTACTAGTAATCAACAAAATAGTATCATGACATAACTTTATACAATCTACATCTATTTGTCCAGATGAGTTCTACATTAATGTTTTTGCTGTGAAATTATTCCATTTAGCTGAAAATTTATATTTTCTTTATTCAATGCATATCATAACATTTATTCTTTTTTCTCTAGATTTTCTCACTCATATAAGCTAACTAGATCAGTCATCATGTATACCAGTAGACAAAAAAATGATTCTCAATCATTTAAGTCCTGTGAGTAAAGCCATATAAAACATGGATAAAACTCTGAAGCAAACATAAAGTAGTATAATTTGTGTTTAGAAGAAATTTACATTTTATTATTTTAAAATCTCAAATCAGAGAGGATCTCTAAAATCAGTTCTTACATGTTTGAGAACAACAATCAAATGTCTTTCAACAAATTCTGACATCATAAGCCATTTATTAACACATAAAGCTGCATGCTTTCCAGAGGAACAACAAACCCTCTAGTCAAACAG